AGCACACGGAACGGCGTTTACCTTCCCGCTGGTAAGCGGTCCCTATTTATCTACTTGCACTTGGAGGTGCTTTCGAACTGCTAGGTTGGCAGGCGCTGGGACCGAACGACGGGAGCACACCCCGCCGCGGGGATTCGAACCGCCAACCATGCGATCGGCAAGTCCTAGGCGCTGAGGTTTTACCCACAGCGCCACCCGCGTCCCCTGCCCCTGCTTACCCCCACCCCAAAACTCTGCTTGTCCTGCTTTCCTACTTGTCGCTTGTCTCAGGAGGGGGGCGGGGAAACTATATCTAACAGCCTGCTTGCATTTTTCACTTCTGTCTGCAACATCTAACGTTGTATAGGAAATCAAGTTTGTGTGTGACTTGTATTTGAATTCTAGTGCCGTAAATGAACAGTTTGGATTAGTGATATGCATCTCCCCGGTTCGATGTGGAAAGGACCGGACTCAAATGAGATCATTTAGGCAATTTGAATCATGCCGGAATTCATCTCATTTAGGTCTGGCCCCATTCCAAGCGAACAGCTCATCATGTTCCCAATGATGTCACCAGACGCATGATGGGGACTGGAAAACTTGCTATCCCTCCTTTCCCAAGCTTAATTACTGCAGCTGATATACTGCGAAGACTGGCGCTCTGCTTTCACTTGGTCAACAGAGCAGTGCATTCTGCTTAATACGTTTCAGACTCAGGCCATGGATTTGAGGCACACTTTTCTGGTGTGAATTTGAATGCGGTTGCCCATTCCCCATGCCCTGACACATGCACCTGGTGCACTTCACCATTGAGGGAGGATTTGAACTCAAGACCTACAGTTTGAAGTCCAACATTGCATAATGTTGTATGATGTAATAGATGCAAATCCTTCCAGCTGACTAAACAGCAAGTATAACACTTTTGTGTTCGTTTATCAGGAGCAGGACTGTCATAATGATGAAATGGTGTAAAAGAAAAACCACACATTGCAGCCCCATCTCCATCTTTCAAAAAGCCATGCATATCTGGTATCTGCATGATATACATCATTAAATACATGGTGTAGGGTTACGAAGACATAATGAAAATAAGTGAGACAAATGTGTGTGATTAACGAAACTGACTTTCTTCTGGCTCGGCACAATAAACACATAACACAATTTTTTATTCTTTTTTTAAAAAAAGAATTATGTGTCAAGATACACTGTAGATATCTTGAACCTCTTGAACTGTTTTGTTTGTAACATTTATATAGAGTCGTACCTTGGTTTTCAAACAGCTTAGTTCTCAAACGTTTTGGCTCCCGAACATCGCAAACCTGGAAGTGACTGTTCTGGTTTGTGAACGATTTTTGGAAGCTGAATGTCTGACGGGACTTCTGGGGCTTCCGATTGGTTGTAGGAGCTACCTGCAGCCAATCAGAAGTCGTGCTTGGGTTTCCAAACATTTTGGAAGTCGAATTGACTTTCAGAACAGATTCCGTTCAACTTCCAAGGTACGACTGTACTGCCTTTTATCCAGGATTTCAAGGCAGGGTACAAAAAGGGAACAAGTGAAGCAGTAACAAAAGACATTCAAAATAACCAGCAGATAAAACACAATAAGGTTATGATATACTTCTCAAAATGATTTGAATTGCCTTCACACATTGCATTAGTTATACTATGGAATTCGTTAGCACAAGACGTAGTGATAGCCATCAACAGTGCAGAACCAGAGATACTCGTCACATGATTATAATTCAGTTGCAATGTCAAAATCCAGTTCAGATGCCCTAGAACTCAGGGTATGCAGAAGTTGGCCCCTCCTATAAAACAAAAGGGGGAAAACACCAACTCTTAATGCTTAAATACCATTGCTGTTCACATTCCTGAATAAGTCCATTAAAAATATGCAAAAGAAATGAATAGGAATTCTCAAGTGCTTATTTTCTCTCTCTTATAAAATAGGATTTTAAGAACAATATTTACTTTGAAGTTCTTATTAATTAAAAAAAACCAGGTACAAGAATGTTTGGAACCATTATAGTGTAGGTAGTACATTGTGGGTGTTAAGGGAAATAGTTAATGAACCTATTGTTACTGCTGGCAATTATGAAATGTCATGGAAACCATGGTGCTCAAAGGCCAAGTAACAGCATTGCTTGGATTCAACATGAGTCCTCAGGGGAGAATAGCAATTGTCTTGATAAGTTTCACTTGCCTTTAAATAAACTAATTAGAATCTGTATGCACGTACTGGACAAGGAAATGAGTTCTAGCAGACATCCCACTTAGACATGATTTTCAGCAGGGTCCCCCAACTTCCCAAAGGAGCTTTTTAGGGGTTTGGGGGCTGCAATGTGGGTGATAGGACTGGAGAAGAAAGCCCCCTTCTGTGAAGCTACAATGGTTCATGATTTGGAGGGTGCAAGAAGCTATGCTATGACATATTTTAGAGGAAATGTTGTCTATGACAGCACCAGCCCATTAAAAATCAAGAATGGACTCTCCACCCCCACCCCCCGTTTATCTTCTGTAAACTATTGCCCTTTAACACAAGCCTGGTACATATATGAAATTCTGGATGTGTGTATATGAACATACAACATGTGTGCTGGCAGTGTACATGTGAGTCCAGATGCACACATCGTAATGTGTGGTTGCAGTAGTTTCGGATAGGAATGTATATTTGAAGAAAGTGATGTTGGGATATCTCAACTTAGGTGTGCATTCCAGTGTTTTTTCATGTGCAGATTATTTTAATTCACCTGCTGATTATTATTTTTCCTAACAGAAAATACATTTGAATGAACAGTTCAGGGTAATTTGAAGACAGCAATTTCCACTTTGGAAATGTAACTTGGCTTGTTACCTTGGCATCCTTAAGTGCCCTGCATAACTTTTATCCTGGCTAGAAGAAGCAGACTGTATTAAGCAATATAGTAAGAATTGTAGAACAAATCATATAAAATAAGAAAAGCCATGCACATTTGCACAATTTATGTAGGCTGCGTATTCAAGTCTTCCTTGCTGCAGAATTTAGTTTACCCTAGTGCAAAATTCCTGCTCCCCAAGGGATAGAACTCTTCAATGTCATCAGTAAAACAAGTAAAAGGAATTAGTGTTCTGGACTCATAGATGTTTTCTATATTGGTATTCTCTGTGTTGCTGTTACCTATTTGAGAAAGAAATGTAGAATTCTCTTTCCAATAAAAATCTGTCAGAAAGCTTATAGTGGATACAAGTGCTATGTGCAAAAGTCTAGAAATGGGCAAACTTTCAAAGATTGTCATCGAAATTCATCAGGTTTCTCTCCCACCCTTCACCCCCACAAACTGGAAGAACCTGGATATGTTTTGTGAGCCAATTGAAGGGAAAATGCTCCTGCTTGCAAAGCCTTCCCTATCAACTCCCACAATTAGTCTTTTGCAGTCACTTACCTGACAAATGCTGGCAAGCAGGTGTGCAGGGAGAAGAAAGGAATATGGTTTGCCCTTTCCTCCCTCCTTCTCAGTGTCCCTGATCCATAGTGGGTGGCACTGCACCCTGATGGGCTGCAAAACCTGGCGATCATGGGGTGGGAGAAGTAATTTCAGGGCTGCCGCCTTTGCCGTGGTCCACCAGGTGTGGCATCCTGGCATGCTGTTTATGCATCCTATCAAGCAGGGGAGCGGTTGGCGCTGTGGTCTAAACCACGGAGCCTCTTGGGCTTGCCAATCGGAAGGTCAGCAGTTTGAAACCGCACGATGGGGTGAACTCCCGTTGCTCTGTCCCAGCTCCTGCCAACCTAGCACACCAGTGTAAGTAGATAAATAGGTACCGCTGTGTCGGGAAAGTAAACAGTGTTTCCATGCGCTCTGTCTTCCGTCACGGTCTTCTGTTGTGTCAGAAGTGGTTTAGTCATGCTGGCCACATGACCTGGAAAGCTGTCTGGACAAACGCTGGCTCCCTCAGCCTGAAAGCGAGATGAGCGCCGCAACCCCATAGTTGCCTTTGACTGGACTTAACCGTCCAGAGGTCCTTTACCTTTACCTATCAAGTGAGGAAGGAGGAGTAGTAAAACACCCTCTTTCCCTGTGCCCCGATGTTATGGCTCTGTTCTGGGGGTTGGCAGGGGTTGGCCAATTAGAATACAGATTCTAATTCTATTTCACATGTCTCTTCCAGGGACTTGGCAGAGGCATGTGAAATAGAAGGTAGAAAATTTTCTTTGGCTCATATTTTGATCCAAGCTGAATATTGAGTTATTATTTGCATTTATTAGTCACTAACTTTGATCAACCCTAACTCAAGAGAACGTCATTCGTAGTAAAGTCCTGCTCCTTATCTTTCTGCTCAAAGCTGCTGTCACAGTACCCTCACATAATTGAAACATAATCCTCTGCAGTTCAGACCAATTTCTTGCATTAGACCAGGGTGGTATTTTTAATTTCCACGTCATCACAATAATACTTCTGAATGTACTTGGGTTTTTATGATAATTCCCTACCCTCACAAATGCAACTCTTACCACTCTTACTATTTTTCAGAGGGACAATAATGTTTCATTGAAATGTTCCGGCTAGCTTTATTTTAAGCATAAAAATGTTCAACTATCTGCTTTTAAGGCTAAGGGTATATAGGCAAGAGAGATGCTTGCCACCCAAAACGTCTCGCTTATATTTCCATGGACCTTGGTTACTATTTTCTTTGCCCATATTTTTCCAAAAGCAAGAGACCAAGGGCATGGTTCTTTGTGTTCTGCATGTCTGCTTCCTAACAAAACTAATCTGAGTGGATCATCTATAGATGGAGCAGGAGAATATTTTTTTAGAGTTAACGTTCCCTGAAATATTAGAAAAAAGCTTCAGTGGGTGGGGCAATCCAGCCTCTTTTTTGCTGTGAGTTATCTTCTGGCCTTTCAGTGTGTGCAAGCATTCTGAAGGCAATTAATAATGCCTAGCATCTTCAGTCTCAAGAGGAAAAGAGGGGGGGGACCCTTTGTTTTCTTTGGTGGCACACTAGCTTTTCAGCTGATGTTTCTTATTTCATTCTTTCAGCACACTTAAAATAGAAGACATTAGAATACAGCGCCATGAGGACAAACATGTTGACAAACAAGTGATTTGTTTCCCATGAAAACAAGCTGCTGATCTGACCCTTGGTGAAAATTTGGACCCACCACGGTAAGAGTTTAATGTTTAACCATTTGTTAATGTGAGCAGCTCAAGTGCTGCAACGCTAGAAGTCATCGCACGGTGTCAACTTTTAAAACGACTGCTGTGACCTTGTCAGACAAAACTGTAAATGAAACTGATCCATCTTAGGACTGGTACACATGATATATCATTCTTTAATTACATATAACTGGATGTGTGAACTTTCTTCTTTAGAAAAAATATTGTATTTGGAACAGTATGGATGACAGGAAAGTTTTGATCCATGCTTTTGGATCTTTCTTGGCTGTTCTCCAATTGCATGTTGTCATTTTATACTGTCATTGAATGATGATCATGCAGATGTAATTTGCCCTTTAATCAGATTCTCCTTTTTTTTTTTACTGTTCTAGAGACATTGAATCAGCACCAATAGAAATGAAATGGAAAGTTTAAAAAAGCCTCTTGAAAAAAAGTTACCATTATGAATAAATGGTATCTCAGATGTTTCCATGTAGCCTTGATGGGTAGAAGCATGTATCTCCAGAGTTCAGATTTTGGTCAGCTTTCTACTTAGTATAAAAGCGAATACCATTTATGAAGCCCATCCTAAATCATGGTCTTAATTAGAAGAATGACAGGAGAATATTATGTATTAAATTTCATGGGTGACTCATTTCCCCCCATAACTTTTTTATATCAATAACACTAACTTTTTATTCTTGTTAACTTTTAATTTTGGAATGAATCACAAATATGATTCATAAGTGTAAACCTTCTGCCTGACCCCTGGCAGTAGGAAGGGCCAGATTTTGGGTTCTATTGGTGGCCACAAGGCAGCTGTTTCCCCATTCACAAGCCCAAACTGCAGTTTTAGAACGATGCACTTTTGTGGTAAAGGGGTCCATCTTTTTCACTTTACCATGGTGAGTGGGAGGCCAGACACTGGTGGGTGAAGTAAGCCTGAGATGTCTTCTGAGCCAAAAAACTATAGAGGAGGTGGGATGAACACTGCCCCCTCCTCAGACTTCAAAGCTCACCCAAAGCCTGGAAATCATTTTGGCTTTATGCCTGCTGGGCACAATTGCAGTGTCTTCCACATTTTGTATCACGGGATGTAAATTCATCAAAACATCTTTCAGGCAGAGCAGGCTGAAGCACTTTCCTCTCCAGCTTTGAACTGGAGGAGGAGAATAGAAGCATATGGGCTTGTCTCTATGCTTGATGGGTGCTCTGTGCAGCTGATCAGAAGCTGAGCTTGTGCAAGCCAAAGCTCCTTCTCCTGCCTTCAGCTCTGAAGTGGGAGTAGAATCCTTCTCCATGGCTCCAAGCTTTATCCAGAGCAGGAGATTTCCCCCTGATCTCATGCTGCACTTCAGAGATAATAACAGGGGGCCAGAGTATGGGGTCTCTGTGTGCCTTGGTGACAACTATTTTTGTTTGGTCAGCTTGCAATGACAACACTCTCATTTTAGGGCTCCACTCGGGCTACTGTTTTGTACTCTGGTAGTTCTACTGCAAATCAGATGAACCTAGAATATGCATCAGTTGTTTGGGGCTCTTCCATTCATTCAGTTAACGTGCACAGGTAAAGGTAACGGTAAAGGACCCCTGAACAGCCCAGTCAAAGGTGACTATGGGGTGGCAGCACTCATCTTGCTTTTCAGGCTGAAGGAGCCGGCGTTTGTCCACAGACAGCTTTCCGGGTCATGTGGCCAGCATGACTAAACTGCTTCTGTCACAACAGGACACCATAACGGAAACCAGAGTGCACGGAAATGCCACTTACTTTCCCACCATAGCGGTACCAGTTTATCTACTTGCACTGGTGTGCTTTCAAACTGCTAGATTGGCAGGAGCTGGGACAGAGCAACGGGAGCTCACCCCGCCGCTGGGATTCGAACTGCCAACCTTCTGATTGGCAAGCCCAGGAGGCTCAGTGGTTTAGACCACAGCGCCACCTGTGTCTCTATACAAGGGAATACCTAATATTAGTCACCTACCATTTCTGTCAGCTGCCCTTATGTGCATGAAGAGCAATGAATGCATAAATGTAGAGGAGTCTGCAGGCATTGCAAGCCCAAGACACTCAGTGGTTTAGATCACAGCGCCACCTGCATCCCTTTACCTATACCTTTACCTAATGTGCATATGACAGTGGGTTTGGCATGATGGCAGAAGACTCACATGTTTCGTTCCTTTGCATGTCTGTAACATGAATATGCCTATATGAGCTTATATAGGCACAGGGATTGCTCCATGTGTTGAGAGTTCTCTGTGGAAGGTTTGCGTACCTGTTTGTGTGTCTGCATGAGATTGCTTGCAAAGTAGTGAGAATCCGTCACCCTGAAAATCAATAAAAAGAATTGGCAAGCAAAGAGAATCTGTCACCCTCATTACATTGTCCAGAGGAGCATCAATAACATCCAAACAGAACGACAGTCTTTCTACCTTAAAGACTCCGGGGAGTCAGTTCTCCACAATTGGGCATTTAGTGAGGTGTTGAGCAAAAGGGACACATGCCAGAGTGCTGACAGCCTTTCTGAAGTCCACGCAGAATGGAAATAAATGGCAGCTTCTGAACCGGCAGTGCCTCAGTTGTCTGAACAGAAAAACTCTTGGCTTTCTTAGCCATTCTTTTCGCTAGGCCTACCTTCTCCTGTTGCTAGGCGACAGCTCACAGTGGCTGTTATTTCTTGAAGGCTTACATAACTGTATGGGAGTGAATTACTATGCTAGATAAAGTGTTCCAGTTCCTGTGAAGATACCAGTCCCCTCTGCAACTCGGTGTTTTGTTTTGTTTTAAAAATTTGCTCTCTTCTTTGCCCATGCTGATCCATTGTGTGTCCATAGACCTCTAAACAGATTGTAATCCATCTACAGGTAAAAGTTTTCTACACCACCTATTGGTTTGTCCCCACTTTTCCTGAAAGTTTGACCATCAATCTCTGTTTTCGAGGTACATTCTTAACTAAAATCTGTTTGGGAAATGTTACAAATTGGACTAGCAAGGCTCTTCTATCATAAAGCAAAGAGGTTGTAACTTGTGAGAAGAAACTTCTATATATGTATACTGAAGGTTGTGGTTGTTGTTTTTCCTGTGATGGAAAAGTCTGCTTAAAATGCTGAACTGAACTGAATTTATGGCCATTAATACAATATCCATAATTAGGCCTTTAATTCCCAACCCCTGCTCTTCATTGAGAAAAAAGAAATCTGAGTTCAAAAGATAAGGCTGAAAACACATTTTTCCTGATTTCTCATCAACCCTTTATTTTCAATGCCCCCCCATGTTTCTTCTGTACCATCTAACAACTCATTTCTTTTATTTTTCAAACCCAAGAAAAGGGCAATCACTGCAGCGCCATAGCTTCCTTGTAATGTTGAAATACAAGTACTGATAATTTGTTGTTGTTATAGTCGTTAACACTGATATTTTGCAAAGCTCTGGGAAACTCATGCAACTTCTTCTCTGCTTCTCCCAAGTTGTATTTAACTTGGGTGGAGCCACTGGACTTAGAAGACAGATAAAGGTTGTGTACTGGATTTCCCCTTCTCAGCTTTGGAAAGCAACACACATGAGTTGCGTGACTCCATCAAAGTCAGAGAAGGCTTGGGAGAAGGGGAGACGGAATCTGCTTCTCTTGTTCAGAGTCCTACAGATCTTTTGCAAAATATACCCCTCTCTAGCTTCTGAAACTCTAATGAGTTGAACAAACAAAATAAAAAGCCTCCATCGATTACATTTCATTATAAAAGATATTTGCAAGAGGTGGAGACCTTTCCTCCTTTCCCTACATTTCCATTTCCCCCTTTCAACTTACGTAGACAGACATTGCTGGTCTTGAGATTAAGCACAATATATTAAATGCAGGCTTATCTGTTGGAAAATTCCTTTTCTTATGAAGTCCTCATGAACATTTGCCTGCTTTTTAGAATGAATGTCTCACAATAAACACATATAGTATGTGATATACACAAATTTGCAACCAATTCCCCCTAACATAATGCATGTTTGTATGCTGTTTTCACTAAAATATGTTTTTATGCAGACATTACCAAGTATTTGCAGTTTTATACACGTTATTTGGTTGTAGAGCAGCATTGCAAAATTGAGATAAGTGCAAATTTCAAAAGACAAGTGCAGTTTGGTTCACATATTGTCTCAGGAAGTGTGAGTTGAGTAGATTTGCATTTAAATGCAATCTGAATCAAATTCTCTGCCTCAAACACATCCCAATTCCTGCTCCCAAACCGCCACTGTAATTTTGCTTGCAGCTGAGAATTGAAGAATGATGTCTTGACAAAGCTAAGGAGTCCAAATGTGGAAGGAGCCCAAAACCCTCTTATTTCCTCCATCCCTTCTTAGTTCTCTTAAGTAATTTAGAATGTTTGAATGGAAAGCATTGGATTTTGCAACTTTTATTTGGAGCTGAGTACAAATATTGGGGATAAAACAGGGTGGGCACTTTTGGGTTCGGTAGATGATTGATTGTGGGTAGAGGTCGGTTGGGTACCGTATTTTTTGCTCTATAAGATGCATCAGACCATAAGGCACACCTAGTTTTTGGAGGAGGAAAACAAGGGGGAAAAAATCTGAATCTCAGAAGCCAGAACAGCAAGAGGAATCGCTGCGCAGTGAAAGCAGCAATCCCTCTTGCTGTTCTGGCTTCTGAGATAGCTGTGCAGCCTGCATTCGCTCCATAAGATGCACACACATTTCCCCTTACTTTTTAGGAGGGGAAAAGTGTGTCTTATAGAGCAAAAAATGCGGTAATTGTTTTGTGAGCAAGGGACTCACCAAGCCTGGCAGTAGCTGACAGAGATCACCTAAAATGAAATCATAAATGCTTCCTGTTACAACCGTTATATTGTTTTCCTAGCTATAAGATCAGATAAAGGCTTTAGATTTTGCAAGCTGAGATAGTTTCAAGCTACATCCATAGATGGTGTGAGGAGGCAGTTCACTTGTGTCCATGGAGTTGTATTAGGGAGAGGTTTTGTTGCCTGGACTGATGGAGATCAATGCC